TTCGATCAATTAAATGAAATAATTAGACACGACACAGAGTTAGCACTAAGAAACCATAAGAATAGCAACACTAAAGTTACTACTTAGTTAATTAGTAATTAACTAAGGCCAACATTATTTCTAATCTTCTCATATAATAAAAATGAACGCAATGAATTAAATAAACGTTTTCTATGTAAATAGGAGAAAAATAGAAAAACAGAGTAAAATTGGAATTTTTTGTACCTTTATTTAATTGTTCATAACTCCGGTATTTATCCATAGATTTTCTTCACTAAGAGCTTGTTTTCTTCGAAAAAGTGCGATCTATATGCAAACAATAAGAAACTGGGCATAATTTGTCAGTTTATACTTTTTCATGGCGATACAAGAAATTTTCGTATGTTATTTTAGCCCAAAAAATCGAAGTTTCTCATATATTTTGGATCATGGCACTTAAACTACTCATGAGTAGTTGGTAGAGTTCAATGGTATACATAGATGCATACTCTACATAGAGTCGATGAGCTTAATACTAAGTACGAAACCATGAAAATCAAAGGAAAGGGTTGACTCCACGGTACAACCAGAGAAACAGGAAAAACAAACAAAATCAGAAAACAAATTTTCTTTGATTTCCAAAGTTTGTGTCTGACTCTGCAAAGTAATTATTTCAACTAAGAGGGTGAAGCTAAAATGAGATCGCGACCATGCAACTGGACTTAATGAATCAGTTCCGTTTCCTCTTGGTGGGTCTGACTCGAGAGAAAGACGATCGACGTCTCCAAACCAGTCTACTACAACCTGCAGCCTGTCGGGAGTCACAGGACCAGACTTGTACCCTTCGGGAGTCACAGGACCCGACTTGCACCCTTCGGGAGCCACAGGATCCTATTTGCACTCGACTCACTGCTCTTTTGAAGTTTCCGCGGCGCGCCAGGAGCCACAGGATCCGACTTGCACTCGACTCACTGCTCTTTTGAAGTTTCCGCGGCGCGCCGGGAGCCACAGGATCCGACTTGTACCCATCTCACTGCTCTTTTCGAGTTACCGCGCCGCGTCGGGAGCCACAGGACCCGACTTGCACCCGTTTCACTGCTCGTTTGAACTTACTGCGCTGCGCCGAGAGCCTGGACTACACTAGACGTGATACAGAGAGTAGAGAACTGACCCAAGTCAGTCAGACGCCTCCAAAGGCGTCGATTGTCTTCCTCTCGAATACAGATCCACCAAAAAGACAACCGATCATTCTGTTCAGGTACACAGTTGGCCACTTCACTTATCACGTGAAGCAATAGTGATCGAAGTGGAGAACGAAGTTACGAGTTCAATATGGACCTACGAATAAACAAAAGAATTAAATAAATGATTAATAATTATTTATTAGAGGACAGACACTCGTACATGTATGCATGCCTTAAAAGTAACATACGAGGGAACATATCCAATTGTCACACGCGAATTTTGGTAAACTTTATGTGGTAGGTAGTTTTTACAAAAATATTTCACACGTATTTTTTTTTATCAACAATTGTCCATATTGAAAGGGTGAAAACAGCCCTTAAAGTTAGGGGTGAAAACTTATGTTTTTTTTTAATATCTTGGAAACTAGAAGAGCTAAGACAAAACCGTTTGGTTTTTAAATATGGTTTTTAAATATGGTTTTTGAATTGGTAATTTACTCATTGCAGAAGAAATTGTTTACTTATTTATTTAAATAATTTCTTTATAAAAAGATGTTTTATTTTTGTAAATTCATGTTACTAAATATGGTTTCTCATACATGAAAATTTATATGCGTAAACTACAGGTTAAAATTAAGGATACATATTTTTGGAAATTTTGATTTTCACCATATAACAATAATTATATTAAATAGGGAATTCCTTCTTCTTCTCCAAAAATGTGGCGTCTTTATCATTTTTTTTTTTTTTCATAAAGTATGCAAGATTTTAATTTGAAATTTTACACACGTCTCTAGTATTATTTTGGTATGATGTACAAATTTATATGGAAAGATTTATCGAAAAATATAAATGTTACAGCCCGTTGACCGTGACGCCGTAATGACAACATTGGCCAGAACAAAAAATTCGTAACCTAGCTCCGCTAGTTTTCAACATATTTGAAAAAAACATGGTTTTCAATATAGAATATAGACGACGATTGCTGATAAAAAAATACGTGTCAAATATTTTTGTGAGAATTATCTACCACATAAATTTTATCAAAATCGACATGTGACAATTGCATATTTTCCTTTGTTAGATGCGTGCCTTAAAACTAACCAGACTAAACTAAGGTTCCCACAAGCGATACCAAGCTACGATAATTAAGGGAAATGTTACTACTCAAGCAAAAATAAGAGGAACACGAGACACGGATGCACAATCGCAAGATCTATATTGATCGAAGGATCATTGAAGAATGCGTGCTCGTTCCTCACATACTTGTTTGGGTCGCGGTCGTGGCTCGCTTGTGGCTCTGGAAGTAGAGAAGGGGAAGGGCAAACAACCGCGTGACATGACGGTCGCTTCAAAGGCTCGTTGAATCCATCGAGTAAATAATTTGCGAAACATTAATATTACAGAAAAGTCATATTCTCGGTCATTGTTTAAACAGTTATTGTTAATAATTAATATAACTATTCACAGAAATTAATATTTAGTTGGTCCAATCAATAGATATTAAAATATTAAATTAAAATATTAAAATATCGTGGTTTCGAATGATTAATATTAACATTAATATTACAGTTAGTTAGTTAGTTAGTTAGTTAGTTATAGTTTATTCTCTTTGCGGAGTACAAGCGGACCTCCGCTCCGCTTACATTTATTCCTCTTAACACTACTTATACAACTAAGCCTTATTTCTCTACCTTACATCTAACTTTCTACTCCATTCACACCTGTGAGAGAGAGAGAGAGACTCCATTCATCCCCTCCCTCATCACACACGCTCATTCCTGACCTCCGCTTCCGCTGATCGTCCTTGCTCTCATCTCTTCCACTCTCCTCATCCATACCTCCCCTTCCACCTCTTCTCCTAGCACCTCCGTCACAACCTCCTGCCACCCTTTTTCTCTACCCCAGTCCGTACATGCTCCCACGACTCTATTCGTCCCCAACAAACCCTGCATCTCCTTCTATCCTCTTCTTCCCAATACCTTCCCCCCTTTCATTTTACTCCCTAGTCTATATCCTACACCTTCTTTCCTCCCAATTCTTCGTCAAATACCTTGGTACCCCCTCTCCTTTTATCATTTTGTACCACTTATTGTATCTTGACTCCACTATCTTCCTCCACCTTTCTTCCCTCTGCACCTCTTTCTCCCTTCTTACTATCTCTTCCCCTCTCAATCGTCCTTCATCCCTCCACTCCTCCACCTTCCCTATACTTCACCTCTTTCTTTTCCAAAATTCTCTCCTCTCCTCCTCCCATTCTCCTAAAATCCTACCCCCCACTGCTCTCCCTCTTATCTCCATCCAACATTTCCTCGCCAGCACCCCTCCTTTCCCTTCACTTAATTTCCTTTCATATCCCCATGCCTCATCCATCCTCATACCAGCCCTTCCTCCCAACAACTCCCTCTGCATCTCCTCCCTCATCATGTATCCTGGCACTGTTCTTCCCACTCCCAATACCCATTTCAAAAATCTCTCCTGAACCCTCTCTATTTTCTGCCTCCCCTTCCATCCCCATACTTCTACCCCATACCCCATAACTGACCACACCAGCTTGTCAAACAGCCATACCCTTTTGCCCCAATCTTTCGTGAATTTCTTTCTTCCTATCCCCCATACCTGTCTCATCGCTATCATCCCTTTCTTAACTCTCTCATTAACCTGTTCTTCCTGCTTCCCATTCGCTATTAACACATAGCCCAGGTATTTAAATTTCTTCACTTCCTCAATCTCTCTGCCCTTCCACCTCCATTTCACCTTCCCTTTCCTCCCACCCCCACTCTTACATCTCATCATCTTCGTCTTCCCTACATTCACCTCCAACTTCTTCTCCTCAATGTACCTTTCCAATCTCGCCACCACCCCCTTCATTCCATCTTCATCCTCCACCATCACCGCTATATCATCCGCATAAGCCAGCGTGTATATTTTCTCTTCTCCGACCTTTACCCCTCCCCATCCTCCTTTCATCAGTACCTCTTCCATATCCGCCAGTAATATCGTGAAGAGCGTTGGACTTAGCGGACATCCTTGTCTCACCCCTCTCTCCGTCCAAAAACTCTCCCCCTCTTTCTCCCCTACCCTCACTTTACTTCTCGTCTCCCTCAAAATCGCCATGCACCTCCTCACCAGTCCTTCTCTCACCCCCACCTTCCTCATCGACTCTGCCAATACTTTCCTATCCACCGAATCGAAAGCTGCTTTCAAGTCCACAAACAGTACTATCATCTTGCCCCCCTTCCTTGCTATCTGCCTGTTTATTAGATAGTTGAGGACATAAATATTATCCATTGTCCCCACTCCCTTCTTGAATCCTGTCTGATTCGATGGTAGAATCCCTCCTTCCTCTATCTTCTTCCTTAGCCTATCCGCCAACACCCCCGCATACACCTTGTACGCCGTCTGCGTAAGCGTCATCCCTCTGTACTCCTCCTCTCTTGTCTCATCTCCTTTTTTTAACACTGGCACTACCACTCCTTCTGACCATTCTTTACCCTCTCCGCAGCCTGTTAGAAATTTCCCATAATTTTTTCCTTGCTACTTGCCCTCCATACTTCCATACTTCGTTCGGGATTCTGTCACCTCCTGTTGCTTTCCCCTCTTTTAACTTTTTTACTACCGCCCAAACTTCCTCTCTACTTACTTCCTCTTCTTCATTCTCCCCCTCTCTCCTCTCTCTTCGCCTTCAACCCTCCAGCCCACTCCTCCTACCACTCCTCTAAAATATTCGTCCCAAACCTCAATCTCTATTTTTGTATTCACTCCTTTCCTCCGCTTTCTTCCCCTATTGACAATCTTCCATACCTCTCCCTCCGTTCTTATCCCTTCTATCTCCTTCTACCACCTCTCTTTTTCGCTACTTTTCTTCTCTCTACTCATTTTACCTAACTCACTTCTTGCCTTCCTAAAGCTTTCCCCACTTCCTCCTTCCCTTTTCCATTTTTTCAATTCCTCTTCCGCTACATTCTTCTTCTTCTTCCATTCTTCATCCCACGCGTCTCTTCCTTCCTTCCTATTATACTTCTTCTCCATCTTTTCTAACACCTGTAATACCTCCCTTTTTAATTCTTCCCACACCTCTTCTACCTCTTTTACCCTTCCTTCTTTCCCTACAAACCCTTCCCCAAATTCCTTCCTTCTGTCTTCTGTCCACCATACCTTTTTCCCTCTCCCCCCTTTCCTCCTCCTCCATATTTTTTCATCTTCCCCTTTTTCTCTTTCTATCCATACTACCACTGGTTGGTGATCCGATTCCACTTTCTCCTCTACTACCAACCTTACCGTTCTTACCCTCGTTTCTTCATTTCCTAACACATAATCTATCACTGACTCTCCACTCCCTGTATACGTGAATTCGCCCTCTTCATCCCCTGTCACATCTCCGTTCATTATCCCCCACCCTAGCTCTCCCAGAAATTGGCACAGTCTCCTTCCCTCACTATTTCTTTTCTTGTCCTTCGACAAGTCCTCCCCCCTCCTCTGACCTCAATCCTCCTTGCGTCCCCGCCCTAGCGTTTAAATCTCCACCAATTATAACCCTTACCCCTTTCTCCCTTTCCTCCATCCATTCCCTCATTCTTTCCAGGTTCTTCTGCAAATCCTTATTCACATATACTCCTATCAAATTCCACACCTCCTCCCCTAACCATATTTTCCTAGTCATTATTCCCTTTTCCTCCTCCTCCTCCTCCCTTTCCACTCTTATAATTTTTATTCCTTCCTTTGCCCCTATAAGCATTCCCCCCATAGCCCGTCCTTTCTTCCCTCTCCTTACGGCATACTGTAATTCCCACACATATCCTTTCGTCGCTTTACTTCTTATTCCCTCCCACTCCCTTCTTCCCACCCATGTTTCACACATCACTACTACATCCCATTCTTTGATTCCCTCCCAAAAGTCCTTCTCTTTATTCTTCAATCCTGCCACATTCCAAAACGCCACCTTATATATCTTGCTTTCCTCTCCTGATCCTCCTTTTACACTTCTTTCTATACCTCTTTCACCTTCCCTTCTCTGCCATGAACCCCCCTCTGCCCGTATCCCTGTTCCTCTATCCACTTTTCCTCCACTTCATCCCATCTTCTCAGATTATTCTTAACCCACATCTTCATGTACCCAATCTGTACCCTCTTTCCCTCTCTTCTCTCTCTTTCCGCCTCTCTCTCTATCTTTTACCTTGCCCGCCTTTCTTCCTCTGTTCTATCGTCTTCTATTCTTTCCAGCCTCCCTTTTAATTCCCTTTTTGCCATCATTACCTTCCTCTTTCCCTCCACTCCTTCCATCTTCACCAGCAACCTACCTCTCCCCTCTCTATCCACTTTGCCTATCCTCCTTACTTCCTCTACTTTCTCTTTCGCCCCTATCCTCCCCCAAATCTCTTCCACCACTTCTTCCTTCCCCTTCCCTTCGACCTTCACACCTTTTATTATCAAATTCCTTCTTTTCCCTTCCCTCTCCTTTTTATGTATTCTTATTACCAACCCCCTTACCTTCTTACTCAACTCCCTCCTTTTCTCCTTACCTGTCTCCCCTACTTCCTCTTTTTTCTCTTTTAATTCTAACCTTTCCACTTTCTTTTCAAGCATTTCTATCTTCCCTCTTAACTCCGCCCTTTTTCTTTCCCAACTCTCTTTCATCTCGCTCAGTTGCCTTAGCATTTCTTCTCTTCCCTCTTCCACCCCCTTCCCTATCTTCTTTAAATCCTCTTCAATATTTTTCCTCATTCCCTCCATCAACCCTTTTAGCATTTGCTGCAATTCCGATTTTCCTACCCCCAACTTTTCTGGTGTTCTTTCTACTCTCTTACTTCTTTTAAATATTTCCTCTTCTTCCCTTGCTTCCCTCTCCTCCTCCCCTCCCCTCTCCGTCCTCTTTCCTCTGTTAAGCAATTCCTCTATATTCCCTAGACTCCCCGTCCTTTCCCTACCCCAACCCTCTGCCTTCATCGGTCTTTCTCTCCTTTTCGCCTCCTCCACCTTGCTATCACGCTACCTAACCTCTGACGACACGTGCTCAGCCTTCTCACCGGTTTGTCTCCCTTACCCTCACTCCCTTCACTATCTTCTACACTCCTCCAGTAGCCCTTCACCGCCACTCCCTGACCCTACCCTCCTAACTCAGTACCACCACACTATACCCACACTACCTTCCTCCAAACTTCCTTACACCTTTCACACAACTCACACACTCTGTCACCGGAAACGGAAGTCCATTAATATTACAGAAAAGTCATATTCTTGATCATTATTTAAACAATTATTGTTATAACTAATTTAACTATTGACAGAAATTAATATTTACTTGGTCCTATCAATAGATATTAAAATATTAAATTAAATTATTAGAATATCGTGGGTTCGAATCTCCGTGCCTTATTTTTCGTTGGGACTCCTACATTATTATTATTATCTAAGCAACCGATGAATCTGACAAAATAATAATAATTAGATTAAGAATTTTATATTGGTTTAAAAGTTGTGAGATTTCCTGGATAAAGTAACTTGAATAATATAGTTTCTACCGGGTTCGACTGATACAGGGGATAGAGAGTTTAAATCGAAATCAGAAAAACTAACTCCAAGTGGAAGCACGGAAACTTGTTTCAGTCTTGGAAATGTAAAACTAAAATAAGCTTTCAAGGAGGAGTTACATCGAAAGTTCTACGAATGTAGGATGAGCAGCGTAAATTTCTAAAGACGGAGATTTATCTCGCAGGGGATAAGGAATCAAACGCTTATGCAAAGAATAAGCGGGAGTTTATTTTGCATTAAGACACGGACTCGAGGGAACCGTTTTCATACTTAATCGCACTGAAGCAATATTAGCCACGTATAAAATAACGTTAATTTCTCTTCAAACAAATTGCGATATATTCCAATTCCTATCCTCGTCGTTTTTTAACCGACTTCGAAAAGGAGGAGGTTACTCAATTCGCCTTTTTTTTTTCTTTTGTGTCGTCTTAAGTACAGAATATCAATTTTCGAAATTTTCTTTTAATAGTACCCTCTGTTATTCGGAATCTCGGATACGATGAAGGATTTAACATTTAGAGATTAGAAATAGAACTCATACGGTACGAAGGATAACAAAAATATACTGGGTGTCTCAAAAATGTTTGAGGTCCTTGAAAGGAAATTTTCCTTAGCGCAAATGTTGTTTCAAATCACCCTTGAATCACCCCTTTCATGGACCTCCAATATTTTTGGGACACCTTGTGTAGAATTAAATCTGTTAACAATTAAATTATTAACAAAATTGTGTGACTTGATGACTAAATAGAATTCGAATTCTTAAAACTTCAACCAAATTGTATTTAAATTTTGTACGTGTGTTATTTATTAATAATATTTAAATTCTACTCTTTGAAATGTAAATGAATTGTTTATATTGAAAGTGGCATAATATTTTCTGTGTCTTGTAAAATAACACTAATCGATCATTTATTTTAATAGAGTTCTCTCAAATAAAGTCGATTAAAATAAATGAAAATAACTTTTTTATGAATATTGACCAAAATTGTACCCTTTAGAAGATGAATGAGTCTCATATTACATGTTATAATCAGAGCTGGGTAAAATACGTATTTTAAATAATAAATAAATATTTCATTTCGGATCATGCATGGATTTTTAAAAATAACAAATTTTATTTCGGATAAATAAAATATTTTATTTGAAAAACACTGAAAATATTTGTGCCATAGTTCGGAATTTCGGATTTATTTAATTTATTATCACCAAATAAAATATTTTTATTTTACTAAATTATAGTCTAAAATATATTAATTTTGGTAATCTAAAACGAACGAAGTACTTTTTCTCGGCAATATAAACATACGTTCAATATAGTTCTTCAATGAGTAGTTCTATTAAGAACCTTCAATAAGAATCTTCATAAAATAACCGATGGAAAGAGATATTCGTCAATCGCAAGAAATCACAAGTTATATATAGTTTATTTTCAAGTTAAGAACTACGAAAAGTATTCTATTTTATGCTTTATTTTATTAAAATAAAACGTATTTTATTTTACGTTTTACATTATCAAAAAAAAAAAATATTTATTTTCATGCTTTAACTACAGATTACCAAAATAAACTATATTATTTTACGTTTTACATTATCAAAATAAAATATTTACTTTCATGCTTTAGATTACCAAAATAAAATATTTTATCTGCTGAAATTTTATATCCCATTTGAAATACTACTTTATTTGAATTATGAAAAATCTGTTATTTAAAATAATATATAAATATTTTCTCTCCAAATATTACCCACCTCTGGTTATAATTCAAGTTTCTAGGATTGTTTTTTGAGTTCCAGCGATAGAATGTAATATTTACAGGGCTATTTTTAGTATAACTTTGTCGAGACCAAACTTTTCACTCGTAAGAAAGATAAGGTGTTTAAAAACAAAACTAGTTATGCCACATTTAAAATAACCATAAAGATATTATCTTTATTTCTATTATTTATTATATTTATATCTCATATATTATATTTATTTATACATTATATATTATTATATTTATATTATATATTTATATTATTTATATTTCTAATACCTAAAAATTCTAATTCTAAATTTAACGTCCGATTCGAGTATCGTTCGACAATTTAATTTGACATATACAACAATATAAATCGCGGTAAAGTCAAGATAAAAATTGTTTAAACTCCGTTCACTAGGTCGAAGCGAAGGAATTGTAAACGATTGCACACGGTCGACTTGGAAATGTTGCCATTGCAAAATGCTTTGAAAAATCGAATAGTCAGGGGGTATTCCGCTCCAAAGGATTTGAAAGCCCTGGCGTTAAGCTTTTTTTTTTCTATATCGTTGTACAGATACTTCTCCTGAAATAACAAAACTTTGTTATTTGTCAGATTGTCAAACGATGCATAAGTTTTATTGCTCTATAATAATCGCATCTGGCGATTTGATTGACATTTGATTTGACATTGTAATCGTCGGTTACTTTTTGGAAAATAATTTCACAATTACTTTTCGCCCGAATTTCCCTACTTGAGAATTTTCGAGAGCACTTTCGTCACACGTGCGGATAGATATGGATTTGCGACATGCATTGCCCCTTGCTTTTTGCTGCACTAGACGATTAACGCGTCCAAAGACGCGGAAAACTCTAATTAATGGCGTTGCCAGGCAACGCTGGCGTATAAATAAAGATGAAAGCGTTTACCGTTACCCGGCGACACCATTTTGTTTCAATTTTCGCCCAGTTTATTGTTCTTCTGCTCTCATTCCATTATTTGGTCCTGCTTTTCTTGATCCTTGATCCTGATTTTCATGAAAAATTTCGCGTAGATTAGATTAATTATTATACATACAGTTTCTGGTAAATAACCAAGTTAATAAATTCTGCAAATTA